TGCGAGTGAGATCTGTTAGCTCAATGAGGCTGAGCATCTTGAGCTGACCAGAAAGGCACTTGGGGCAAGTCTATCATATAGGTCCCTTCCCATCCTGGATAGAGCAGTGATTCATGCTCACTGGGATCGATACATATTCTGTAAATGGATTTGTCTTTTCTACCTGCAAGACCTTGGCCATTGCGCTATCCAAGGGCTCACAGAGTGTCTGATTCACTGATGTGGGATTACACATAGCATCTCCTTAGACCAAAGCCTCACTTTATGGCAAAGGAGGTATGGCAGGGGGCACATGACCACGAGATTACTGATTCTATCCTATATCACACTATTCAGAAGTTGGTAAACTGATAGAACAGTGGAAAAGCCTTTTATCTGGGCAGCTGGGTCACCAGCTTGAATGTGACACCCTATGTGGATGAGGCACTGTGTCAAGATGCAGCAGACTTTTTAGGAAAATGCTGTTATATGTGCTGCATCCCTAAAAGGTAAAACTGTGGCTGCAGGAAGTAGATGTGGCTTTGTTCAGCATCATTTCCATCATCATGGCTGACTTGGGAAATTTGTGTTTTCTGTCCACACAATTTTAGATATCCTGGTTCCCAGAGGTGCCTGCTTCTCCAAAACATTTCCCTCAGCTGATGGGAACAGTCTTGTCAAGAAAACTTGCACTGCTTTCCAAGTTGGGAAGCCCATGGGCAATGACTGACCAATGAAAGGTTTAAAAGGCAGGATCTTTTGCGTCAAGATTTGGGGGGGATAACTCTGCAATTTTGTTTATGCTCTGAACTCCCTCCACCCCCTACCGTGGATCAGGCCAAGGCTTGACTTTACCAGAGACAACAGCCTTGCTCAGCTCTTTCTTCTCCCCCGCCATGCTGCTTCTTCACTCCCTCCCTCACCAGTTTTTCCTGTAAGGCACTCCCTCAATAAATCCTGAACACCTAAATCTCTGATTGAGGCTCTAATCTTCTCCCTCTTTTGGTCCTTGGGCCCAAGGAGAAGACATTCTGTCCATTATCCCATGAACAAAAATAAGAACTCTGGTGGGAGCTGGCCCCATGACTGAGTGGTTAAATTTCTGTGCACTCCACTTCGGAGGCCCGGGTTTTCAGGTTCGGATCCTGGGTGTGGACCTGCTCCACTCATCAGCCATGCTGTGGAGGCATCCCACATGCAAAATAAAGGAAGATTGGCACAGATGTTGGCTCAGGGCTAATCTTCCTCAATCAAAAAAAAGAGGAAGGTTGGCAATGGGTGTTAGTTCAGAGTGAATCTTCCTCACCAAAAATAGAGAACCCTGATGAGCGCAGCTACCAGAGGGCAGAATTTTCAGAACTGAAGGGTATCATCGAGGGCAAAATTTACTCAGGACCTCCTCTTATTTTTACATTTTTTATGGAAGTATACACAGAAAAGCACACTGAAATATACAGCTTGCTGAATTTTCACAAGAACATTGCAGAAGGGGAAGAGAAAAGGTACAGGTGTCACACACGCTTCCATTCGTCAGCCTAGAAAAAACCATCACACTTCCATTGTCATTTCATAGGCTAGAGCTCGTCACATGGCCCACCTATTAGAGAAGAGGGGAACTGGACAGGGTGAGATTAGGAATCTCTACAGCAATAAACACAAATCTGGTGAGTCATTTTTTTCCCACTGAGTTTTCCTGTGTATATCAGTTTCTCTCCTTTTCCCCAGTTTTGATGGCCAGTTCAAACCATCCTAACCCAATACACAGAATAGAAGAGATTTTGTCTTCAGTATGTTCATGCCAGTGTTAAATTCTGAAGCATTTGCTTGATTGGATTTGGGCTAAATACTACTAAATAATGGTAAAGTCACCTTGATAACAATTTGAGGTTGAATATGAAACAAAATGGTAGCTAATAAGCATTCTATTAGGCATATCTTCTCAATTTTTAATAACTTGTGATGAAATTTTGCATATGGATAGAGGCTACCAGGACACATGATTATACCAAGAGAGGTGCACAGTTTAGAGAATCACTGATGATACCCGGAAAAATGTAAAAATAATTACAGATCCTTTGATATTGATGCGCATTGTCATAATGACTGCCATTACTGGCTTTAGGGCCGCATTCCATAACGAGCTTTTTTGGGACTTAGTGTTGCATAGAAGTGCCAGAGATACTGTTTCTATTAATGAACATGTAGTTCTAAGCTGTAACAATGGCAATATTGTATTATTCTCTGAGCAAAATTCTGCTGAATTCACAGACAGGTGACATCGTGTGGGCACTAATGTATATGGAGCTCTCTGTTATAATAAGGCTGCTATTATCTTTAACACAATAACTCTGAATGTGCCCTGGACTTACCAGTAGGTGCTGTTAGCTAAAACTTGACTTAACTCTTTGGGGTCCGATTTAAGCAGCTCCTTACAGACCTATCCGTGATTTCCAACCTCAGAAATTCCCATTCTTGTTTCTATTTCATTTTTCACTGCTTTCACTCTCCCTTTCCCTCTTTCCTTGTGTGTTTTGATAAACACCTCTTTTGCATCCAAATTCGTCTTTCTGTGGAAATGCATATTTTGCCCATTTGTCAGAGGAGATTGTTGACTTAGGTCTTCACTCATGGAGCCTGGGGGAGATGCATCCCTGCCTTTCGTCCTCCCCGGTCCCATCCTCCAGGTTACACGGGCTCTGTACGGCAGGATCATGTCTCTCAAAATAATGCATTCTCTAAGCAGTGGTTACTGCTCTGGGCTGAAAAGGGGCATTAAACATCACCACTGATTAGACTTGGTCCCAGTATGCCAGTCCAACAGAGGGCCAGGCAAGGCAGGAGAAAAGCCTGGTTCTTGCTGGGCTGCTCACACCTGGCACCCACGGGCATGCACGCAGACAAACCAGATACTTCCCCAGCTCGGAGGGGAGAAGGCTGACCTGGAGATGCGCAGAGTCCTCAGTGCAATCTCATTCTCCTCCATTATCTGCCTGCAGAGGATCCACTTTCTGGATTAGCTTGGGGAGGGCAGCCACCTTTGGTCCATTTGGCCTTTTCACCATCATCGGTCCCCTCCCTCGCCCTTGGCGCCTGCGTGCAGCCTGAAGCCCAGCGGTCACAGGGCGAGGATCAGGAAGGAGAGTTTACCGCATCCCTGGGCAGCTATTTCTGTCAACTGAAAAGGCCATTTAAGCAAAACACTTAATTACCTTTCCTCCTCCCCGCAACCCCTGGGAAAGTATGAGCCAGTCAGATAATGAGCTTAGAGAGAGCCCGCAGCTTGGCGAGGCGGAGAGTTTCATCAGGCTGAGGAGTGACCTCATCCGATCCCATCACGAAATGGGGAGCAGGGAGAAGAGCAAGAGGGCGCAATAAACGGCTCCTTGCAGCCGAGCTTCATTATTTCGCTCGTCACGTTGCCGATTCCTAGAACATTAGAGAGCTTCTAGTTCACAGGTGAAGCAAGCGGGCCTGGCCTGCGATCAGCCAGACGGGGGCTTCTTTTGACTGTGTGGCCCTGTGCAGAGAGCCCTCGGCTGGGCATCTTCCCTGCATGGCCCTGGCAGCGACCTCAGTCCTCTGGGCCTCAGATTTCTCACTGATAAAATGAGGACATTGGACTTGGAGAGTCTCTAAGGGACCTTTAAGTTTTATAACACTAAAAATATTGCTTCGGGCATAGGGGGTTTGGGAAGATGGGGTCTCCTCCACGGTGGTGGCCTGGCCGTGGCGGAGGAAGACAGTGTGCCTGCATTCTTAAGGGTGTGGGCCAGGCCAGCGGAGGCTGCCCTCCTGGGGTGGCCAGTAATTGGGGTCTTGCCTAAAGAGGCACAGCCTGTGAAATGAAAGACACAGGAGCTGAGCCTTTAAGGTAAGAGAAGGTGCTGGCCTGAGGGAGAGCCCGGCATCTTCAGAGAGCTCCCATCAACCCTGACCGGAAAGGATGACAGATTGCTGCCTCTGTGGTCAAGCTGGCAGGGTGTCTGTTTTGGCCTCTGTCCATTTTGACCTCAGTGTGTCTCATGAGTTCCATCCCTGTGTCTGTCCTGCTTGGACCTGGCATCTGCCGTGTGCCAGCCCGACACAGGACTGAGGCCACCCAGCTTCCCACCCACTGCCGCAGCCCCCACCACCTGGCCCTGTCCAGCTGCCACACACTGGCCCCATCCTACGACTGGAATGTCAGCCCACCCACATTTTCCCTGCTTTCCAGCCCTCCTGCCTGTCCTCTAAGGTCTGGACTCACCTTTCCTGGCTAGATGCTGCCACCTTGCCTCGGCCTGAGCCGTGACTCTGTGCTGCCTCCTGGGCCCTGCATGAGGCTGTAGGTGAGGGGAGTGAGAGGGTGAGACAAGAGGGGGGACTGAAGGCCTTCACACCCCAGTGGGAGCCTGGTTGGGGGACTGAGGAAGAAAATCACTCCATTTCATTCATCCACTGAATCACTGAGGGCCTCTCAGAGCAGCAGCACTGAACACAGACAGAAAAACACCTCTCCCCGACAGAGTCTAGCGCTGGGGAAACAGATGGGGACTAAAATAAATATGCAAAGAACTAAAGAAATACTTTTAAAGATATTTAAAATAAAAAGAATGAGCATGTTAAAGTGTAACTACTACTATGGGGAAAACTAAAGCAGGGAAGGAAAACAGGAAGTGCCAGAGTCAGGAAGGGGTTTGCAGCTTTAGAAAGGGTGGTCAGTGAAGGTCTCATTGAGAAGGGACATTTGATTAAAAATTTGACAGACATGAGGAAGGAAGACATGCTTCCTGGCAAAGGGGGACTCCAGGCAGAGGGAATAACAAGTGCAAAGGCCCTGAGGCATAACTGTGCTTGGTGAGTGAGGAATGGCAAGGAAGCTGGTGTGACTGGAGCTGAGCAGGGGGTGTAGGGCAGTAGGCCATATCAGAGAGGAAACAGGGAGAGGTGGCAGTGGGGAAATGATGTAGGGCTTTGCAGACTACTATAAGAGTTTTACTCTGAATGAGTTGACGGTCACTTCAGGGTGTGACCAGAGGAAGTCAGGAAGCGACTGTGATCATATTAGTGAGACATGATATGACTTGGCCGTCTGGCAAGGGTGGGTGAGGTCAGAAATAGTCAGAGTCTAGACCTAACACTAGATGACCTGATTTGCTGATCACCTGAATGTGGCATGTGAGAAAAAGAAGAGAGACAAAGGTGGTTTTGAGATTTTTGGCCTGAGCAATTGCAAGAATGGAGCTGTTTGACATTAATGGCAGGGAGAAGGGGTTGGAGGAGCAGCGTGGGAGGCACCGTCAGGAGCCCGGTGCTGGATGTGTCTATCTGAGGTGCCTGTTGGTCACCCAAGTGGTAGAGGACTCCAAGTGGAGACTGGAGCTCATGAGAGGACAGTAGTCAGATACGCATTTGGTGCCCACAGTAAATAGACGGCCATTAAGGTCATAAGACAGAATGAGATTAGCAACGAAGTGCAGACAAAAGACAGAGAGAGAAGTCAAGGCCTGAGCTTTGAGACCTCCAGCATGAGGAGGCCAGGGAGATGAGGAAGACCAGAAAAATAGTCTGGGAAAGAAAGGCCCAGGCAAAAGGAAAACCAGGAGAATGGGGTGTGCTGGAAGTAGACGCAGCGTTTGAGGGGAGGAAGGAGTGGTTATCTGTGTCGAGATGAGGGCTAAAAATGACCGTTGGTCTTAGCCAGGTGGCGGCCACTGCCGGGCCCCATCTTCTGCAGAGACAACCCTTCGATGTGCTTTGATCGTGTCTCCTGGCCCCTGCCTTAGCCACAGGGGCAGGATCATGGGCCCAGGCCTGGCCAATCATGTGACCTTTTCCCCTGGCCACAGTGATTGGTTTAGAGATGAGCATGTGGCCCACACTGGGCCGAGTAGATTTTCTCGGGAGGTTTTCTCCTGGAGCTGCTAAGTGTTGGGATGTAAGTCATGGCCTCTCGCAGACATCCTGCCTGTCAGGTGGACTCACTCTTTCTAAGATAGAGAGAGAGAGATCCCTGAAAATAGCATTTGAACCAGTTCTGGATCCAGCTCTGCCCAAAGCCTGCTACTCCCTTGGGCTAAATTTCATTTCCCAGCCAATAAACTCGCTATTTTTAAGCTAGTTGAATCAGCCTCTGTCTCTTGCATCCAAAAGTGCTCTAACTAAGAATCCAAGGAGAGTTCTCTGGAGTCCGCTACTCAATAGTGGGAGCAAGTGTGCGGAAGGGCGTGTTGCTGACTCACTGGCCACACAAAGACTGACCAGAGAGGGCTTTGAGCCACTGCTCAAAGACGCTGGCAGTCCTTGCCGGGCAGCCCTCTAAATGAAACCTTATTAAGCAACCCCTGGCTTCAACACTATTCTTAGCTGCCTGGAATTGCGTGGAGGAGGCCAGCCGGGGCACAGCCAAACAGGGTCACCTCCCTATCTCCTCCTGTCGCAGCGTCTGACGCAGGCCTGAAATCTGGGGCAGGTAAGGTTGCGACCAGAGGAGCTGGGTGAGGGCATCAGGTTCCAGCTGTGACCTAAGAGGTGGCATCCTGCGGGGCGGCCAGGGCTCAGTACTGGGAGTTCCCTGGGAGATTATGAAAGCCACAGGGGGTGAGGGGAACTACTGCTGTGGGCTTACAGGGGGACAAGGTCAGCATCTAGGGAATGCAGATGAAGTAATGGGAGACCAGGGCAGGGAAGCAGTTGCTAAAACAAACCCACAATTCTGCTGGATGAGGTTTCTTTGGCCTGGAGCTGTTTTTAAAGGGCCAGCCACACACAAATTGCAGTGTGTTAAAGACACCTGGAGCAGAGCACAGACCCACTCAGGCTAGCTCGCAACTCTGAAGATCCAGGATGTCACCTTTGGGGGGCTTCTCAGTGTGTTGAAAGGGGAAGCAATTTGTTTTCATGGTTCTTCTGGGTCTGTGCACAGATGGATTTTTCAGCTCATCTCGTCACTCTCCTCTACCTGGGCAGACGCATGAGTCAGCCTTGGGAACAGCTCTGATCTTCTCACCCTGCACCCCGACAAAGGTGAATTATGCTCCAGTGATAACCCCTGGTTACCTACGGTACGTAAACCAGTCAAGACTTCAGAGAGCTCCGTAATATCTATGCACAAAAGGTCTTGGTATAAATTCCTTCCATCTAAAATCATTACCACATTGCTTGCTTCTATTTTGGGATTTCTTATGTTCCTGGAGAAGACCCACCTTTCACACCAGCCGTTTCATCATCTAACTATAGTTAAGACTTCTTCCAATCACACACTTTCCTCCATCATGGAATATGAAGGATACGAATTAAATGAACCTTATTAAATGCAGTGCCACGCATTTGGAATTTGTAGCATTTGACAGAAGCTGAAATGAAATTTACTTGTTGCTCAGATAATTGTGTATTGTGTACATTACTAGACTGAACACTTTTGTAGGAAGGGTGAATTTAAAGTGTTTAACAGGAAAACTGTTTTAAACACCCTCCAGCACTTTAAAATGTCACATTGCACCCAAACAACTGATTCCAGGTACGCATAAATCTTCTGTGTTCACAAAACAAGTCTGCAAGGGTTTCTGGTGGGCGGCTGTCCTTTAGCCTCCTATTTATTTACTGCAATAAAACTATGTAAAAACCCTATCCTTCACCCCTTTCGCTAATTTACTTTGGTCTTTTCTACGATGGTCTAAAAAGAAATGTTTTACTTTATGACTTTACCCTTCAATAAGGTATATTCTTGGTGCCACAACTGAATTCTGCTTCCTAAGTCACAGAAAGAAAATGTTTTCCAAATTCTTTCCATACTTCCTGTAGGTGGGACACAAATTGCAAGAGAAAAAAATCCTGGAGGCTCAGAACCAGATAGGCCTTTCTTTCTGGAAGAGTAGTTTCATTCTCCGAGCTCTGGTGCTTTGAGGCTCACATCATGATCTCTGGGGAGATGAGCAGAACCCAGCCTCTCGTGTGTTGGTTAAGGGAGCGCTAGCTGCTGTAACAGAAAAATGCCTACGTCCTGGCAGGCTTACGTACTGAAAGTTTATATCTCGATCACGTAACAGGCAAAGCTGACACTTCTGGTTGAGTAGCTCTCCTCCACGATGTGACCCAAGGGCTCCTTTCGTCTTGTGGCTCCATCAAGTTCAACATGTGGCTCCAACATGGTCCCAAGAGTTGACTCATTACAGCCAGGTGGGAAGAGAAAAGTCCATGACAGACTGCACGTGGGTTTATGATCCAGGCCTGGAATTGGTGCGCATCAATTCCGCTTATTTTCTACTGACCAGAGCAGGACTGATGGCGGACCATGGCCACACACCCCTGCAAGGACTTGGACACGTATTATAGCTGTGTGCTGGTGTTTGGGTGAACATGTAACAATTTCTGCCTTCTGTGGTTGGAGTCAAGAACTTTTGACTCCAGCAGTGGCCAGGCTCTCGCTCTGAAGGTACTGGGGATGCTCATTGGGGCAGGCCCCCAGAGACTGAGTAAATTCTGTTATTAAATTAATTTCCTTTATTTGCTACTCAGTTTTGCTTTTCTATTTTCATCTCATTGGCTTCTGGACTGGAATTAAACATCTTTAAATCTTGGTCTACCACAACATCTCAAAAAGACTTAAAAAAGGAAAGAGTCAATAGGAAAAGAAGTTGACTTGACCTTGCTTCTTATAAATCATCTGAAAATGATAGGCTCCACACTAAAATATCCTAGTGGTCTGAGGCAGACAGGATCGAGATCTAGCTCTTTCTGCAAGACCTGGATATCATTTATCACCGAGTACCTGACTCTCACAATTCAGGATATTGAACCTTGTACAGGCCTCTGCTACCCAACCCCCCCACTGTTGAGTCACCTCCCACCCTCAGGCAGATGCGAAAGTAAATCTCTAGCCCCCCACATAGTAGCTGTGAAGTGTGGGCAACTTATTTAGCCTTCCTGAGATTAAATTATTCTGTAAATTATTCTTCTTGGCCCCATATTCTGTGAAAATGGGGTTAATAATTTCATCTTGTGGGACATTGTAAGGGTTAAGTAGGATATTGAATGAAAAATCACCCAGCACAGGGCCTGGCATCGGCTGGACGATCCATCACTACCAGCTTCCTTCCGGCCTTTCTCCACTTGGAGGAAGGTGAGCACCAGGGCCCTCGTCAGAGCGGTGGTGCCTCCGGGAGTGGGGCTACCTCTCCTCCCCTGCCCGGCCGACTTCACGAAGATCCCACTGCAGCAAGAGTTCTTTCCATTCAGACAGAAACCAGAGGGTCTGAAGGCGAGGAGGGAGTAGGAGGCAGACAAAGACGCAATTACCGCCACATGACTGCCTACTAAGAATTCTGGCTGGAGAAAGGCTTTTCTGCGGTTTGTTTTTGCTAATTCTGCTGCAAGAACCCAAGAGGTAGGGCCTTCAGTCAACAGGACAGCCCCCATTTCACTGTTCCTAAATGTAATTCAACTTAGTCAACCTCTGACATTTTCTGGCTCCATCTCTTCTCTCTCATACTTCCTTGATTGATTAGCAGCTATCTACTCCAGTTAGCACAATTTCCATTGATCGGGCCCGGCTAAACCTAGTGTACTTCACACCCACAAATGCATGCACGTGCACACACACACACGCATGCACTAAAACCCAAGAAAAATCTCGGCTCTAAATGGAGGGTGGGTGGTACCCAGTGTTTCTCAGGCCATGCCTGAGTCCATGTTAGAGGAAGATGAAAATCACTTTCCCCAGCTCTCCCAAAGTCAGTTTGTGAGAATCAATTATAATCCTTAAATCTTCTCATTCTTATATAGGCTTATTTCTTACTTAGTTCTGGTATGCCACTTTGAGCCAGTCAGAGAAAAAAACCTTTGCACTGGCGATACTGCACAACTATACACCAACAAGGATGACATTCTGGGATAAACTAGCAGAAGCCTTGGCTGTTTCAGGAGTAATCCTAAAGATCAACAGAAGAAATTGCTTGAAGTGGATGGATAAAATTCTTAGAATAATCCTGCCCAAGCCCTCTAGAATTCGTTTATGATGTCTTTATATATTTCAGCCTTTCACCTAGGAAGATTCCGAAGCGTCACCAAAATGAATGTGCAGTGCTGCTGGGAAGGCGCATGGATGCTGCAAAGGGCTTAGACTTGAAAACATCTTTTGAAGGAGTTTTGGGAGAAAAAGTTCCATTGATGCGAACTAAAATTTTGGGGAAAGGTTTTAAGCAAGTTTCAACGGGATGCACATAAAGTAACTTTTCTCACTCTGCTGAAAATCTCAGGGAAAGCAAAGTGGCCCAGAGGGCCAGGTCAGCATTGGCCTAACAGGAACCTTGTTCAGTGGGTTGAAGTGAAGTGAGGCCCGGTGCCAGCAGGGCTTAAATGAAAGCTGTGGTCTGGCAGCGGGTCTGAGGCTGGTGTGCAAAGTCACTGGCGGTTGGCGCTATGGATTGATAGTGGGTGGGGGATTTTAATGGGATTGTACAGGATGGGAAGTGTACGCTATGAGGAATCAAGACCAGAGATGGAAGTTTGACTGGTGCTTGAGAAGCACTTGAGCCCAAAGCTGGGGCTAGAGCTGTAGATTGTTCTCCTAAGTCTTGTTCCTCAACAAGAAGCTTCCTTCCAACGTCTCCCTTCCTCCGGGTCAGAATCTCCCAGAACTTGACTGCAAAGTAACAAAAAGAAACTATATATGAAGATGTTTCTGATCTACCACCAAATTCTGTTCTCTCTTTATCCATAAAAGTAAAAGGCATAGACTTTTTAGATTGAGGTAGAATTGATACACAATAAACCACACATTCTAAAAGTGTTCAAGTTACTAATTTTGACATCATTCTACACTCATGAAAGCATAGCCACAATCGAGATAGAAAATATATCCATCCCTCCAAAAACTTTCCTTGTGTCCCTTTGTAATTCCTCCCATCTCTGTCCCTCTCTGCCTTATCTCCTCTCCCCCAGGCAACTGTTGAACTGCTTTCTGTTACAATATATTAGTTTGCATTTTCCAGAATTTTACATAAATGGAATCATACAGTATTTAGTCTTTTTTGGTCTGGCTTCTTTCATTCAGTGTAATTATTTTGAGATTCACCCATGCTGTTTGTGTATTTCAAGAGTTCGTTATTTTTTATTGGTGAGTAGTATTTCATCAGATAGATATCACACAATTTGTATTCAGTATGTCTCCCCAGGATAAGAGAAATCATGCTGTTGCCATTTATTTGAGTTCTTATTATGGGTCATGGGCTCTTGATGTAACGCAGCTGAATTACTTCTCTCAAGAAACTAAATGATGTTTACAGATACGGAAACAGATTCAGAGAGGATAACTCGTTGGTCTGAGGCCACAGAGCCAGTTAGGGATGGAAGCAAGCTTTGAAACCAGTCCTGCTACTGAAGTCCAAGCTCATTTCTTCAGGCTCTGCTACCTTCCACGGGAGCAGTTTTGGACTTAGATTATTAAGAGCAATGCTTTGGGCTGTTACTTTTCACGGAAGACATAACCTCACAGACTCTGGTTCTGCTCCCACAGCTTCCTCAGCTCCAGGCTTGAGACGAGTCTCTATTCCTCAGAAGAACTTGTGAAACTCCATACTTCTTTGTATTCAAGTATCAGTGTGTTTGACTATTGTCCTCAATCCAGAACTTGCCTTGTTTTTATAGAACAAAAATCCAGCTTCATTCTGAAAATGAAGTGACACTCGGTCTCTGGAAAACAACCCAGATCCCAGGTCCCCACTTTAGCACAATCCGAAGTCAAGGTTTCTGGTTGGATACTTTCAGACATATCAAACCAGGGGAAAAAGAAAGAGATTTTTCTTTTTCTTGCTGTTCCAGATCTGATAACGTTGCCTGATTAGTTCCTCCACCGTGAATTCACACCGCACGTACCCACATGCCAGCCCTTTGCTAAAAGGCCATCAGCTATATTGCTTCCTGCACAATCGTTTATATTTTGCCTCACGCCTTCCCTTCTGCACCTCTGTTTCCGGCTCCTCCCCCTGAAGTAGCAAAACGCTTGCAAAGAAAATGTGTCAACAGGTGAAATTTATAGGAGTTTCCTGGCCCACACAGAAATGTGAACCACAGGCATCCCCAAAGGAGAGATTTTCTTACCCAGATACTTACCCTCTTGAATATGCCCTGATTCATTCACATGTGAGTTCTCTAGAGAAACCAGTTATCTTTTTTACAGAATCAGAGTGTGCAGCTCCTGTTTGGGAAGAGTGACTTTGATGAATGCCAGTTGGGATTATTTAGTTGCAGTTACAGAAAAACCTGACCCAAACTGGCTTAGTCAAAAAAGGGAATTTATTGACTCAGAAGCTGAAAAGAGGAGGGCTAGCTTCAGGCACAACTCTATTCAGGGCTTAAGCATATCAGTAGCACCTGCTTATTTTTGAATCTTCATGTCTTTGTTCTACTTTCCATTATGTTGACTTTGGCCTTGAGTTTTATGGGTCCCAGAAAGGTCCCTGCTAACCCATTCATTCTCTTATGTTTTAGGTCAAAGGTTATGAGTGAGAGTCTCTTTCCCAGAAGATGCAGCGAAAATGTCATTGCATCTCATTGGCTCCGACTAGGTCACGAATGATACATGAACGTCAATGGAAAGGGAAATGAGACATGCTGATGGCTTAGGCCTGGGTCACCAACGCCACCCCTGGGGCTGGGTGTGGAATCAACTTTAATGGGAACTGCATGGAAATTGGGTACAGTCACCAGGGGGACTCTGGCAGTGTTCACTGCAGTGAGTTTTGCCTTATAAGAAACTATATGTATGTGTCACATAACGTTTTGTCTCCACTGCACAAGCCAGCTCCATACCTTGAAAATAGCCAGCATCTGCGCATGTAAAATAAGAATTCCCCGCAAAGCCAGGCTGACTTGGAGAAAGGGTTACTTACTGATTTCAATTCCAGGAGTCAGGCTAGTTTGTTAAAATTTTGATATAAGTGCGTCAGCATAGAAAACTTAAACTCAAAAGTTTCTCAAAGTCTAAAGCAGGACCATTTTCTATTCTTAAAGGCATGAAGATCCTCCACTGGTTTGTTACTGAAGCCTGTTGCAATAAGACTCTCATGGGTTTCATTGAGTTTTTGTGTTTGTTTCCTAAGATGCCTAAGATGTTTCAGTTGTAAGGACCTCTGCAGCGCAATCAGGCTGGTTCTGGAGGGAGTGGAGGAGTTTATGGCAGAAACTTGAAACTTGGGGAGGCCCTGGAAGTATTTTGACTACATTATGGTCCACACACCAAAAGAAGTTCTCCTATGTTGTTCTTTCTTCCAATCACTCAACTTCTTCATATGTCTTTCTAAATAAACATCTGGGATTAGGTTCCTCATTCTTCTTGTCAACTCTTGACCTTAAGTGTTCAGACTTGAACCACTGAACAATTGTTGCTAGTTCTGTACTTCCTTTCCTCAGACGCTTTATTGTTGATTGTGTATCAGGCCCTCTCTAAGCACTTCACATGCATTATTTCATTTATTCCTCATAACTTCTCTATGACA